GCCCGCCCTCACCCCCCAGGGACCGTCTGGATCCGGGCATCGTCTGCGGCGGCCTGGGCGGCACCGGGCGGCCGCGCAGTCGGCTTGAGGGAGGTTGCTTGTCAATATGGGGGTCTGCTTGTGCCCCTGGAACTGGGGTGAATTTGGGCTTACCCACTGTGCTCGCGGTTTTTTAGTACTTCTCTTGTATTTGGATATGGGATTGCTTTCTTAGCACTACAGTAGGGCTTGCATGGCCAGATGAACTCCCGCCTACCTCAATTTTGGTCCCTTCTGTATTCATAGGGCCTAACCCCCAAGTTTTCTAAGAGTTCTCTCCCTGGAACCTTTTTTACTTCCACTACTGCATGATTTTCTATTTCAGAGTCTCCTGATGCTCATGGACAGCCCCCTGAATCGGGCTGGTCTCCTGCAGGTTTATATCCATACCCAGAAGAACGTTCTAATTGAAGTCAATCCCCAAACCAGAATCCCAAGAACTTTTGATCGATTCTGTGGTCTTATGGGTAAGTGATTCAAGCTTTATACCAGCCACAAAATAATGCAGAAAGGTGGTTAGGAGTGGAAGAATTTTGGGAAGTCAAAAAGTTGCAGCAACCTTAAAAATGTGAAAGTGAGAAAAGTGCAGAGAAATGGAAGTGTCTTTGTGAGTACCAGGATGTATAGGCCACCTGTGTGTCCTTTAGCACACTGGGGAGCACCTGGATGAGACTCTGCTAGCACCAAAATAATTTGCAGATAAGCATGTCTTAGGACCGCTTTAGAAGATGCTGGGAACTCTAAAGATAGACTTTTTGTCTGCTTTAGCTCTGATCACTAGGTAAAGGATAGGATTTCTCTGGCAAAAGAACAGACAGCTTAACTACGTTTCTTCTCTTGTCAGTCCAGTTGCTGCATAAGCTCAGTGTTCGAGCAGCTGATGGACCTCAGAAACTGTTGAAGGTAAACACTCCTTGACTTTTCACAGCTAATGTCACAACATTCATCCTTTGCAGCTAGTGATGTAGGAGTGAAGTTGGTTGTTGTTTCTGGACTTAGCTGTGTGGCAGGGTCTCTTACCTCCATGCCCCTATTAACTTTTTGCTTCTTGTAGGTGATTAAAAACCCAGTCAGTGATCATCTCCCTGTGGGCTGTATGAAGATAGGTACCTCTTTTGCAGTTCCAAAGGTGTCAGATCTGCGTGAACTGGTTCCTGCAGCGGAGCCAGTTGCCATTGTTGTGGGAGCTTTTGCCCATGGTTCGGTAAGTGCGTGCACCCCTTACTTGGAATTGTAAAAATCTTTATCAGAATAGATTGCAGTCTTGCTCTGAGTATGGGTATTTTTCTTTTGCTCTTTTTTCACTTGGTCTGCCCTGTCCTGCCCCCCCTTTTTTCCCCCCAGGGAGGCTTGTCAAAAAAAGGCCTAATGCTGCAACACTTGGGACTTTTCTCTGTCCTGAGAGAGGGCGCTAGTGAAAGCTAGCAGTTGCCCTCCTGTGTTTTATTGTGGCTGTGTTCAGCCTTGGAGAAATACCATGCCTCTGCAACCAATGGAGATAGATAGGACTAAGCAGCTTGATTTTTCTCTCTTCTCTAGGTCAGTGTCGACTATACAGAAAAGATGGTCTCCATCAGCAACTATCCCCTCTCTGCTGCCCTGACATGTGCCAAAATTACTACTGCCTTTGAGGAAGTTTGGGGAGTAGTATGAGCTTCTGCTGCTACTACTGTTGTGGTGGACTGCTATCAGTGACTCCATGTTCTGGAGAGGTTTTTTTACTTAGGTGTGGACCTGGTGCAACTTTGGGCTCCTGGAAAGGAAAAGGCTTCAATAGTGTCCTTGTAGCTTCTGGAGCAATGTGACTTTAAAGAGACTGCCCCACCAACCTTTTTTCCTCCTATTAAAGGTCACTTTTGATAAGAGTGTGCTTGTGGATTTTACTTTCTTATGTTTAATACCTGGGCAGGCTTGATCCCTTTATAGCAGGGACTCAGCCCAAATTTGTCACGGAACTGATATTCTTCGCTGTGCCCTGCTTTGCCCTGCAGCTGGAGTTACTCTGTCCCGTAGAATCACCCTGTGCAGTGGTGTGCAACAGCTCACACTCCCACACTGAGGTACCCAAGAGGAAAGAAGCTGAAGCAGATATGAAAAAGACCAGGAGCAATTTTTATCTTGGATGACAAACGTAGAAAAGTCAGAAGGTGGCTCCAATCCAATACAGTGCCTGCGTTGAGTTTTTTTACAATCATCTGATATCAGCAGAGAGACAGGAGTGTCCACTGGAGGGCGGCAGAGAGATAAGGCAACATACAGAAGGTGGAGGATCTGGAAGAAGGCTTACTCCGTTCCCCTCCTTTCGGGTCTCTGACCCTGTGCTTTCTCTTTCCCCCTCCTCGCGTTGAAAAATGTTGTACTTCAACACAGCAAACTTGGCAGGTGATGCGTTGTTTCCGGAGTGTTAATTCGACTCCTACAAATGCACAGGTGGTAAAATCTGAAAAGAGAAAAGGGCTAGATGTGTTTTAGTTGGTTTTGTTTGCCTTTCACTTTGGGCTGTAACATTGCTGCCCCACTTCACTTCCTATCCCAAGTGAGGGATTCTCTCCACATAGTACAGCCTTACCTTTTGGCTGTTATTCTGCTTTTTTTAGCTTTTCTTTTCGTGGCACAATTACCCTGCGAATGTAAGGCAACACCAGTAATAAGGTGAAGACCAATACATGGCCAAGGAAATAAACAGACCTGTACACCTGTAAAGAGAAAGGCAGGGTTAAGGATCAGCAAGCAGCTTTGAGCCAAGAACATAGACAGGAGGGAAAAGGATTGGTTGCATGGGTTTTCTGTTTGTGGCTACTAAATACCTTCATCCATTTGTCCCAGGTGAAAAGGCAAAATGGCACCAGAGAGTAACCCATGAACAGCCAGTGGTTAGCCTGCAGCAGCACGTAGAAGATGGGCTGCAAGGCGGTGATGGAGGCCAAAGTGCTTAGGAGAGGACTGTCCCGAACAAGGCTTATGATCTAATTTAAAGAAAAAAGAGTGTTCTCAGTTAGATGTCCTGTGCCTATATATGCAGCCTCTGGGGCCAAAGCATCTATCTAGCTGTGTAAAATGAATTTTAGTAAGCGGTTAGTCTAAAAAAGTAGCTAAGTACCCCATCCTGCTCAAAGTTTTAATTAAAAAAAAAAAAAAAAAGTTCAAATATGGAATATTGTTCTCAGTGCTGGGAGATTTAGCAGAGGCATTCAGCTCATGTGCTTGCCCTCCACCCTTTCCAGCTGCCAAGTACTTCAGTTGCCCTCTACTCATATGCCAAGTTCTCCACTTTTCTTCCTGTCAGCTTCTTCAATAAATTTATGGCTTGCCCGTGCAGAAGCCAGCAACCTACTGAACTCTTTGAGAACAGAACCGTATCATGTTTGAACACCAATTCCAAAGTGAGCAGCTATTTTCTGTATTTAATCCAAGTAAAAGCCTTTGGCATGGCAGTTTCCAGACTCACGGGGACAGGCTAATGGAGGCCACCCCATTCTGGTAAGTCAGACAAAGCGCACCTGTCTTTCAACGATGACTATAAGGAACTCCATTTGAAAGCACACCAGGTAGCCAGAGTGCAGCCCATGCCAAATGGCCAGGAAGAACAGGGCCAGTGCCTGTGACAGCAGTTTGTTACCCAGGAACTTCAGACGCTTGAAGACGTAGCTAGAGCAGAAAAGAAACAAAGTGCTTCCAGTTTATTGTCTGTCCTCCCCTCTCCACGTCAGAGGTGCGGGGCCCAGGGGACTGTACACCTTTGCACACCCTGTGGTGACAGAAACAGCGAGAAAGCTCCCCTTACCAGGGCAAAATGTACCTCAGCCCTTGAAAGAAATCCTAGCTAATGCAGAGGAGTGGTTCATCTGACAACTCACACAGGAATTAAAGTATTTTGCCATTTGTTTGTGTCCCCAGCAAGTGCTGAACCAAAACCCAGCTGAGTCATTGCATAGGGAGCATCAAGAGGCATGATACAGGAACCAGCTGTTAGAGCAGCTCTGCGGCTGTTTGACCAGGCAGGCTGAAGGGCTCACTGTGGTCCTGTCCTAGCCTGGGCCCTCCTGCTGCCATCAACTGCTTGCCTGTATGAATGAGCTGCCCTTTTAGACTGAACAAAAGGGTCTGTCTAACCCAGTAACCTCATTCGAAGGGGACAGCAGCAAAACATGGAAGAGTGTAAGACCTGAAAACTGGCAGATTCATCCTCTAATGCTCTCTCTCAGCTTAGGATCTTGGTTCTGCTGACAGACATTACTGACACATTATAGAAGGGGAATTTTGTCCTGCTCACCGGGCCACCCAAGCATTGGTGTTGATGTTGAAGGAAGCAATGGTCCCTGTGAACAAAGGTGTTGTCTCATACAGCCAGACCTTCATGTTGGCACAGGCATCCCACAAAGGCTTTCCATTCTGGTCCTTCCCATTGTACCCCAGACCAACAAGGATGCAGACACCTTCCTATGGAAAAAGATTCACAAGAAAGATGAGAGGAAAACATTGCCTTTTTTTCTTTTTTTTTGGAAAGGCAGAGCTGGGGAAGCTCTGACTCTCAGTGTTGAGTGGAGAGACACCACTGCCTGCTTTTTAGTTAGCTAGCCTTTGCTAACTTAAAGCACGCTAAACTGACCTGCACTGATCTCCAAATATTTGGATTACTTCCATTTAATGCTAAGTCCAAGAGCATACTAGTAGCTGCAAAGGTGCTACCTTTGTTCGTTTGTCTTTTGTTTCTGGAATGACATCTAGACTCACCGTAACAAGCCAGCAGGTTACGTATTTGTAGAGTATAATTTTGCCCCAGATCAATATGTAACCACAACGGAACCAGAAAGGCTTCTCCTGCAGAGGTAAGAGTGAAATAGAATAAAAATTAGAAGTGGAGTTGAGTGGCAGTAATGAGACAAGGTAGAGGAGATCTCACCACCGTCTTTTGTTTTAATCTGATGTACGTGTTGAGACTGCTACACAGACTGGACTGCCAGGCTACTGGCTTATGCAAATTTACACACCATTCTCCTTCCTTTGGTAATAGTTGGCTGTACTCAAATAGGTACTTTGGTAAGACTCTGGGATTAGCATAATCATTGCAGAATTTACACCCTCATTTAATCATAGTGACACAGAAACACTGATAATCTGCAGGTAGGAATTACTTGTTAAGAGTTTTCTAAGAATTCCAAAGATTCTGGTAAGCCTTGCAAGTTACTCTAGTGAAGTTCTTTGCATGTAATGGTTAAATGGAATGTCATTAAAAGGTCACAAAATGCATATGTTAGGTTTCCAAAAACAAGAGTAGCATCTAAGATTAATTCTCTATTTGTAAAACTTTTTAATTTAGTTCAATTCATCTTAACACATTCCTGTTTTGCATCAAATGGAATCCACAGGACAGGCAGTAAAGCCAAATCAGTTGTGGAAAGGCTTATATCACTAGTTGCTGACATCCTGTTTTTAAAATTGAGGCAAAACTAAAAGTAAGTAAATAAATAAATCACTCTTGTAGATCCAGTGCCCCCCACAGAAGTGGAATTCTTCCACACCCCAGAACTGCCAAATGAATACATACCATATAATCATCTGAGATGAGGTATTCATCAGTGACGTACAGGCTTGACAAGGTATAGGTTACTAGAAACAAGAGACCCAAACTCAGGCGCTTCAAAGCAGGCACAAAACTGAGAAAGAAAAATACGAAGTTCAAAGAAAAGGCTTGGAAAGAGACCTTCAAACTCATAATTTTAAAAACAGAAGCGGAGAAGAGGAGATAGGGGAGACAGCAATAGGGAGTCACCACATTCCACTGCAGCAGACGCCTCCATTTGGAAGCTGGGATGCTAACATTGCCCAGTTGGGACCAAGTCTGTACTAATGTCAAATGGTTGTTGATGTTGGTGCCCTGGAACAATGCTAGGACATTACGCAGAGAGTTATGAGTAACTTTTGAAAGACTGCCGTGCCTTATAAATCACTTTTGGCCACAGTACTTCAGTGTCCAGGTAAGAAGGCATTCTACTGCAGGGAACATGTGGAGGATTGAGCGTTCTGGGATTTTAGGAAGGTGAGGAGCTAAGTGGCTTTTTATTACCTATTAGGTCTCTGGCCTTGAACATCAGTCATCTCACCCCTTGCCAGTTTCTGATAGTCTGTCATGGAGAACTGAGGCCCCACCATGAAGGCACCATAGAAATAGGAGAATCCTGAAACCTCCAGCAAGGTAGGAACTCCCCGGACAGCAAATCGCCGCTGCTCAGGGGTCAGGAACTCCTGCACCAAAGGGAGTGGCGTTAACATCATGCTAGGGGATCTCATACTAGCTCTGGAAGTCATGTTCTTCACCTATCTCCTTAATGGTCTCAGTTCCTGCTCTCCATGTATATGGAACTTTTCCACTTTGTACTTCACATCCATTCCCCTCCCCAGCCCTCTCTAAACCCATCCCCGCTAAATAGCAACAAGATCTAACGGTTGAGACCAGCTGCACAGATCTCTATTCCCAAATAAGCTCAAAACATGGAAAGGATCTATTGACATGCACCCCTGCCAGCATAGCAGGCATAGTAAAAGCACTGTATCTGACCTATTCCAGTCCCTGACCGCAATCACATGTACTCTCCCAAGACCTTATCGTCCTACAATTCCTACTTCTTGATGCAAGAATTTATTGTCTTTAAATACTTGAAACTTCAGCTTAGGAAATTTCAGCTCAGCCTTGTTTTCTTGCAGTCAGCAGTGATTCCATGGATTCTAAAGACTGGGTCAGGCCCCAAACAGGAGATGGGGAATACAAATACTTGAAGTAGGATTAAGAGACTGTAGCAAGTGTTCTGCCCTCTCCCACACATTGTGCTGTGCAACTTCTATCACTGTTTCATCTGCTCTAAAATCAGGGCCCTGACAAATGGTAAAGGCCAACAAGGATATGGTAAGACTAAACAAAGGCAAGGAAGATGGGAGCTGAGATCCAGTGCTGATGGTCTGCAAGTTAAAGGTACACTACCCACAAGACACAGAGCATTGGGGATCGGG